GGAATGAATTGTTCCAGGTAGTGATTTTGACACTGATTCAGGCCAACGCCGTGGCTGAGTTTTGTTCGCGTTCTTTTGAATACACTTTCTTTTTTAGAGCAGTTATAAGTTAACACAAGACTTGAGCAGACAGCAGACAGTTCCCATATACCCCCTTTCCCACCCTACGCACAGTTTCCTCGGCTACCAGCATCTTGCATTAAGTGGTACGTTTGTCACAGTCGATGAACCAATAGTGACGCGTGACGATTAAAAAAGGTCCAGAGTTTACGTGAGGGTCCACAGTGTGTCGTGAGTTCTGTGGGTTTTGACAAACGCACCATATTGCGTTTCCATCATCAAGGTCTCCTACAGAACAGTTTCACTGCCCTAAAATGGCCCTGCACTCCAGCTCTTGGTTGTGGGTGTCCTCCCAGTGCACAGTTCCCCTCACTGTCTCAGACGGTGGCCAAGTACCACCAGCCACAGACAACAGGGTGCAGTGCGTGCACGGTACACTTGCAGGGCTGGTCCTGCCACTAAAGCATTTGCTCCCAAGAGATGCTCTTGTCCTAGGAAGACCTCCATCTCCTGCTTCTCCTCATCTCCAGCCACTCCCCCTTCCATGTTCTCATGACAGCTCCCTCTCGGTCACCGTCTAGCAGAGCCCCTCCCGCCAAGTTCATTTCTGTTATATTTGAGATTCCACATATAAGTGATATCATACGATATTTGTCTTTCTCCGTCTGACTTACTTCACTTAGTATGAGAATCTCTAGGTCCATCCATGTCGCTGCAAATGACATTATTTCATTCTTTTGTGTGGCTGAGTAGTATTCCATTGTATATATGTACCTCTTCTTCTTTATCCATTCATTCAAATGTCGATGGACATTTGGGTTGCTTCCATGTCCTGGCTATTGTGAATAGTGCTGCTGTGAACATTGGGTTGCATGTATGTTTTTGAATTGTAGTTTTCTCTGGATATATGCCCAGGAGTGGGATTGCAGGATCATATGGCAGCTCTGTTTTTAGTTTCTTGAGGAAACTCCATACTGTTCTCCCTAGTGGCTGTATCAATTTACATTCCCACCAACAGTGCAAGAGGGTTCCCTTTTCTCCACACCCTCTCCAGCATTTATTATTTGTAGACTTTTTAATGATGGCCATTCTGACCAGTGTGAGGTGACACCTCATTGTAGTTTTGAGTAGTGAAGTTCTTGAAGTGACCTGCCAGCACTCCTCACAGGACTGTCAGAGCATCAGATGGGATACTGGGTGTGTGTGTGCATCGTAGGTTGGGAAGAGCCAGACAGAAGCAAACGGTCTTCTGCCCAGAGCATCGTCAGCGCCTTGAAGAACAGGACTGTGCTTTTTCATTCTTAGGCTTCCCTAAAGACTTTCTGCAAAGCACTAGCCATAGAATAGACTTTCCATAAACAGTTACGTGTGGGTTGATTGGATGCATTAGAGGAAGAGAGAATAGGATTGGATATTAGGAATGGAGCTTTAATCGTCAGGAGAAGAAGACACAGGGTGGCATTTTCAGGAAGGCTGTAGCTCTTCCCCTATGACCCTTCATCCTGGAGGCTTAGACATCCATCTGCCTGACACCAGGGATTGGATGGGCAAGATGCCAGGGAAACCACTGCTGAAATGATGGAGCCAGAATCATAAAGAGGTGGGAATAGGGAGCAGAGACCTCCATCTGCAGACGGAGCCTTTAGACAGAGTCCAACAAAGCAAAGAAAACTGTGGTCCATCCTGAGACCACCGCCCCATTCCCTGGTCTTTCTTTTACCAAGATTCCTCAAAATTTTTTTCATCATAGTTTAACAACAGTCAAAACAACATTTTTTTTTTTTGAAAATTGTTGAAAACCTTCACATGGAGAGAATACGACCTTGGGAGAGAATTCTCTGCACCTTCTCAGAGAGGATTCTGAGAAGTCAGGGGATGAGGGGAAGGAACAAACTTGTGGGAATACAGATTTGTCTAGTCCCCAGGCCATATTCAGAGCCTCTATTCTATGAGTGTATAGGCAGGGTCTGGACCGGAAGTCCTCCACAGAGCTCCCGGGGCAAATTCTCCCAACGCCAGGGCAGGTGTCCCCACCTGCTGCATCCCAGGCAGCCACGTGGGATCCATGGACAGAGATATCCAAAACCCACAAGCCACCGGTCTTGTCCTGAGCTTCCTGTTCCCATCTGGTACCAGGGTTTCACACCTGGTTCCCAAGGTCACACGCTCCCAGATCCTCCGACCTGTGCAGCGACAGCTGATGCCCTCCAGGGGCCAAGAAAAGGAGCACACTTACCCTGGGCTCTCTCATCCTCGCCCTCAGAAGCTTCTGAGGAGATGACACAACTACAAGGCTCCGAGCACTGTACGGACTTAGCATTCAGTGCTAGGACTCCCCAGAAAAGCCCATGTACATCTTAGGCTGGAATCCTGGAAGGGGATGGACAGTGAGATGTGGCTCGGTCCCTGTGTATTGACTCCAGTGCACAGGAGGGGTGCAAAATCTGTTCCTTGATAAGAACTGTAGAGTCAGGCTTAGGGGTTACAATCTCTCGGGGAGCTTTGGAAACAAGTGCAAAGAGTCTCACCTTCATTCAGCAAGGCGAAGGATGGTCCTGGGGGAGTTATGGTTGTTCTCTCGGGCAGCCAGGTTGGGAGCCCCCGGCAGGAAGTCTAGCCAGGAGCTGGAAGGTCTGCCATCCCTGCTACTGGGCAAATCCCTACCTCCAAGCTCAATGTTTCCTTATCTCAGGTGGGAAGAATTACTCTGAGATGCTTGCACCTTCCTTCACTCTCACCAAGTGGGGGATCCTTCCTCTCCCCGAAATCAGCCTACTCCCCTGGGTGGTCCTCTGCCTTCAGATGCACCTGCCAGGCATTCAGGGCTGGTGGGGAGTCTTTGGAAGTGACGTAGGCCGGCACATCAGTTCTGTCTCCTAACAGGACACACGGAAGTGGCCAGGGAGGTTCCACCTCCAACCAGTCTGGGACCAGAGCGCATGACCACATCCTTCTCTCAAGACACCTGCCCTGCCTCCTGCAGCACCTTGGCAGCTGCTGGGAAACCCCTCTCTGACCCACCCTGCAAGTCTCCCTCAAGCCCCTTTGCCCCCAAGTCCCCCTTGACCACGGTGTCCACCACCGAGGTCTGTCTGTCCTCTGGATGCTCTGGTATGTCGCACCCGTCCTGGTCACCCAACGCCTCTCACATGGTGGTGCCTTGCATGGAACAAGGTCTTCTCCGCTCACTCGCATCGTGGGCCCCTTGAGGATAAGTTTGCTCTGCTTTGTATCCTGTGGTGAACACATGTACGAACCATTCTGTGACTGTTACTAAAGAGAGCTGTCTCACACATAGCACTGAAGTGTCCTAAATCTTCTCTCTAACCTGGGGGGACCAGCACCCTGTGTCTTAGAGACACATCCTGGGTCCAGGCAAGGAGCACTGTGCCCCTTTTCTCCTGGACCTGTCTCTCCTGCTCTTGTGGCTTCAGCCCCAACACGGGGACGGCTCAGGACACCCGGATTCAAATCCAACCTCTCCCGGTATGAGCTGCACATCTTCGGGTGCGTTATTTAAACTGTCTACATCGGCCTCTTAATCTATACAGAGGAGGTACCTGTACCTCTCCAAAGGGTTATTATGAAAAGTGAATGAGTTACTACCAGTAAAGCACATCATAAATTCCATAAGCGCCAGGCGTCTCTGAGGTCATCATCGGAGGAGCAGCGGAGGGAACCGGAAGACCCTGTCCCGGCTCTCCTGTTTGTTTGTTTTGTGACTCTGGACGTGTGAACCCCAAGAGCTCCATTTCTTCGTGTCTAAACTTAAAATATGGATGACACCTGGGGAGTCTACCTCACAGAGTGGCAGCGAGGTTCAGATGAGCTCATACACGTGAAAATGCTTTGTAAACGATAAAAACACGTGTGTGGGCAGGATAACCAATGCCACTTCTTTGTGCCTGCGTCTGTGTGACCACCCTTCCCATGGTGCCTTCTGCGTTAGCTGGGAGCGCCTGGGGCGGGGATCACATCGCTCCCCTCTGCCAGCAGCCCCGACCTCTAGCCTGCCGCCCGCACGTGGTCTGCACTCAGTAGAGGGGACGTGGGAAGCGCAACAGTCCCCTCGCATGTATGTTTTTCTAGAAGGCGTGCAGTGATAGGACTGTCGCCCCACACGAGAGGGCACATCTAGTCCCAGGAGCCAGGCCCCCCACAGACACTAAACGTGGGGGCGCCTGGCCTGCGGCTCTGCTCCCGGGACCCTCCCGGGCTCCGGTCCGTGGGCTTAGCCAGCAGGCGTCATCTTCATGAGGTTTCTGAATTCACCTCCACGCTATTGGAGAGGCCACAATACCAGTGGGGTTGCCCTCGGCAGTTCAAATCAGGGAAACCGAGCGATCAAACCTCAGCATTCCGTAAAGGAGCAGGGACTCTGAGGCCTTTCTCCTTTCCTCCCGTCTCAAAACCCTCCCAAGGTTGCAACTTTGCTTTTGTGCCTCTGACTCGGTCTCCCACATCTTCACGAAGAGGGGCTCTCAGAGGACGCCACTGCCTGGTACTGACCTGGATTCCTTCTGTATCCCTCAAAACACCCACTTAGGGCTGTGCATAGACAAAGCTCTGGGTGCTTAGTTCCGGATTGGAATTCAAAAGACTGAGAAAAACAAAATGAGTGACTTGATGGGAGATTAATTGCACAGGCATCTGTTGACTGCATGAGTGAAGCTGGATTTTTTCGGAACCACTGGCTGCCTTCGCATTTCCTGGTGGAAGTGGGGCAGGTCAGCAGACAACCCAGTGTCGTAGATAACTTTTGCCCACACATCATTCACTTTTGGGAGCGTTGGCTTGAAATTGAGGGGTGTGTGTGTGTGTGTGTGTGTGTGTGTGTGTGTGTGTGTGTGTGTGTCTGGAACCGACGTGCCTTCCGTGAGCCTCAGAGATCCCTGTATTCTCTTCAGATGGGCTGGTTACAACACAGAGGATGTGGACGGTGGAGTTTTTCCTGTTTGATGTCACACTGCTACCCTTTAAAAGTCCGAGGGAAAAAAAGGAGGGAATGCAGCCTAGGAGCCGCAGGCCAGAAACCAGCAAGGAAGAGGAGAAACAGTCCAGGGAGGCCAGGCGCAGAGCCAGGGTCGGGTTTCAGACTCCACACCAGCCAGAGAGCCGCGATGCTGGGGGCCTGGCTGGGCCTCTGGGTCTGCACCCTGGGCTGTGCGGTCCACGCCTATCCCAACACCTCCCCGCTGCTGGGCTCCAGTTGGGGCGGCCTGACCCACCTGTACACGGCCACGGCCAGGAACAGCTACCACCTGCAGATCCACAGGGACGGCCACGTGGATGGCTCACCCCAGCAGACCATCTACAGTAAGTTGGGGCTCCGTCTAGGCTGGGAAGAGGGGGGACTGATCTGTGCCTCCACCTGCAGGGACTTGGGGAGGCCTTGGCTGGACCAGAGGGCTAATCCAGCCTCCTAGCTTCTCGCCCAGGATCCGTGAGTGCATGTGTGTGTGTGCGCGCATTTAAACCTTGGGAGAAGATTCTGCCACCTCCCCAATTACTGTGTATTGGTTTCTCCCAACAAGAATAATTTCCATCTTAACTAAAGTCCATCTTCCCACAATAGCAGCCACTTTCTCTGTGCCCTGTCCAAAGAGTCAAAAAACGTACAAAAGACAGGCAAGGAGGCTGGGAGCAAAAGAAGTCACATCCGTCAGTAGACACTGAGTTTTGGCTCATGAACTTTGGACTGGGTTAACGGTAGAGGTTGTGAAGATTTCTGTACCAGACCAGGGCTTGGAATAGATAAACCCAGAGGCTCTTTCCAACTCAGAGCTTCTAGTATGCTGGCCTTATAAAAGTTCTCAGGGAAAATGTATTAAAGACTAGACTGTCCAGGAATCCTGTCTTGATGAGTCTGACCCAGTGCATCCATCCATCCATCCATCCAACAAGCTTACTAGGGGCTTCAGTGGAACCCAGGATGCTATGAGCTGGGGAGTCTTCTCTGTGGAGCTGAAAGGTCCACTTATTAGCAAATTAATCTGGTTGGGAACTCACTGAAAACATGAGACAACCGGAATGTTTTTAAAGATTAGGTTTGTGGAAAGTTGGACCACAGTCCACAATAGTCAATCAATTAGCTGTGTTTCCGATGTCCCCAGAAGCAATAATGGGGTGGGGGGGATGACAGATACTGAAAAAGACAAGGTCTTCTATTTTAGGAAAACCTGTAAAAATTAAGGATCCAGAAAAATGCCAACTGATTCAAAATAGATCCAATCAGAGAAAGGAAGGAGTAAGCACAGTCTCTGTTTAATTAAAGACAATGTCTTATAGGAATAATGACTGGCCCTTTATTGGTGCACTAAATTATTCTGTAATTTTGCTGTGGCCTTGCTATACGCAGGACATTCATTCTGCTAAGAGTCAAAGGACCTTAAACCTGGTAGTGAGAGAGATGCATGTGCAAAGCCAAGAGTTCAGACCTCTTCAGGTGCCCAGTGGATGGTGACAGGGGGTGAAAGAAAGGAGGAAGTTCTCCCCAAATACCAAACAGGTTCCAGAACTTAGGGGCACACAGTGGATTCAGGAGTCAACATCTTGGAAGCCAAGTTTGAGTCCCATGGCAAAAATTCTGAAATAAATCTGGATACAGTTGATGCATCCAAAGTATTGCCCGTTTTATTCAATGGATATTTAGCAGAACCTACAACGTGTCTGACATCGTGAAAAGCTCTGTGGCTTCAAAGGAAGACCAGCCCTTCACGCACCTCCAGGTTTCCAACCTTCGTGTCTCACAGCTCACGATCAGCTTTGAGGAAACACAGTTTTGCCCTCTCGTGGAAGGCCGCCCTCACTTCAAGATGAGAGGTGATTTAAAACGCAGGACGGTAGATTATGGTAAATTATTTTGATTCCCCTACATGGAAAGGGCTGCAGACAATTAGAGAATGCTTATAAAATTTCTCTATAATCACAGAATCCTTTTGATGAAAGGAAGCCCCCGAAGACACGGCCTGGTGGGGGGAGAGGGAGGGCTGTGAGCGGTGCCCGGAGTGGGTAGGGCTCAGCCCACTGAGTCTGCAGCATGAATCATAGAATTTTCCCTCTTATATCCACCGACCTCAGGCCCCAAGAAGGCACAGAGCGCTAGCTGGAATGAATTAAAATGACTGAGAGGAAGCAAAGTGAATTGAACTGATTTCAGACTTTTTTTTTTTTTTTTTTACAGAAATGTGATTTTGTTTTGTCATATAAGGAACCTACTAAGCCTTCTGTCTCTGGCAATTAAGGAACCTGGGGAGGGACTGAGTCAGGGGCGGGAGAGAGACACTTTTGCTAGTTTATATAACATTTATACTATTCAGATCAGTTATCATGAGCATTATATATATAGATAGACAGACAGATATACACACTAAGATAAAAAGTTACCCAAAAAGGAAAGAAGAAACACAGATGCCTGTAGCTCCATAGGACAACCAAGTAACAGGCTGGAGAAGGATTTGTAATGACCTCCCCAATGAACGCAAAGCAACGGTTTTACATTGATGGAAAGGTGCGGAGTGTTTTTTCCCCTCCTAATTAATTACAGATTTCCAGTGAAATGTGGTTCACTTGATTACTGTGCTTTACTAAATTCTTGATTAATAGTTGAGTGCTCAGCCCATCTTTGGTTTGCTGATCGTTGTAAAATTATCTGCCTACAAGATTCTATATCCTCGTGACTTGCAGCTGGTGTCAGGGAGTGTGTCTCCAATGTCTGTCTCCTTCCTACTATAAACAAGGCTACCCTCCCACTCTCCGTGAGCCCCACTTTGTGGCAACAGCAGCAAAGAGATGCTTATTACCCCTGGTTAATATTACTCCCTGGCTCCAGGTCTTTTTATTTCCTCTCCTTCCCCAACGTCACTTTCTTGAAGCCGAACTATCCTTGGGCTCTCTAACCCTTCAAAATGTTATCTTTCTTTTGGGGAGCTCAAAGTTCTTTACATCCATCATCTTATTTATCATTTATTGACCATGAGACTAGAATAGGGCAGAAAATTTTCTACTTTTATAGCAGAGATTGAGGCAAAGTGGTAATAGTAACAATCACCGGCATTTAGAATGTGGGTTTATAGCAGATAAAAATATTATCTCCTTACATCCCGAAGAAGACCAAATGAAGTAAATGATTCTACTCCATATGAGAAAACAGAGGTTCAAGGACTCAGATAACTGGCTTGTGGTCACATAGGCGGTAAATGACCTAGGGGAGACCTGGACCCGGGTCCCCTGCTTCTTCTGTATCACGTGCACAGACACGGCATCACGTAAGGAAATGTCCTTTACACCTGCCGGGCTCCAACAGGTGTGGTCCCAGCGGCCAGTGGTTTGTGCCTTCTTTCTACCAAATGCTGCCCTTGGGTCGGTGCAGACCTGCCTCAGTCACCTGCACAGGGAGGACAATCGGCTCTTCCATTTGCTGGACTTTTGCACCGGCTCCTGTGGGTTTGATTCAAGCCTGTGCGTCCTCACGGCAGCAGCTCCCGGTGCCCCTGAAGGCAGTCTTCTGTCCTCACTGGCCCTGGAGACAATGCACACTGCTCACAGGGACCCAGGCATCGGCTGGGAGCTGGCAGGGTGTGGGCTTATCGTCAGGGGCAGGGCAGCCATCCTCCACAGGGCCTTCCATCTGCTAAATGTTTTCAAGGCACTTTTTTACAGCATCATCCCATTTGATCCTAGTTGCAAATTGCAACCCTGGGAAGCAGGCAGGACAGCTGTGATTCTCCTCTCTTCCCAGCTGAGGACTCTGAGGCTTGAGCGATGAGTTGCCCAACGCTACAGAGTTAGTACAGGGCATAACAGGGACCGGAATCTTAGCGCCCCAGTTCCGGGCTCCTGGCTCAGCACCTCTCCCCTGACCCCCTCGGGGGTACCGTGACCTGGGGGCCTCATGGCCGTGGCCTGGATTTCGGCCCTTGATTTCATCTTCTAAGGCTTGTCGTGATGTCAGCTGGAGACGAGCTCCAGGGTTGTGGGCAGAGGATGTTAGGGTCACTCACCCGAGTTTCCTGAGTTTGAATCTTGCCTTGCTTTCCTCATGATTTAAATGGGAAGGTTGCTACTTCCAATATTAATACTGGTGACGTTAACAACATAGCTGGTTTTGTGGGGGGGGGGGGTTCTTTTCTTATTTCTTATTTATTTATTTTTGGCCGCGGCCCATGGCATGTGCGGTCTTAGTTGCCCGGCCAGGGACTGAACCTTCACCCCTGCAGTGGAAGTGCAGAGTCTTAACCACTGGGCCGCCAGCGAAGTCCCAGAGCAGCTACTTTGAGAGTTTAAAAATGTGTCAAACACTCAGAGTGCAACATCTCAAAAACAGTTACGAAGTGTAATTTTTTTTTCCCCCAAGTAGACTGAAAATTCCTCAGGCTGGAAACAATTCCTTACATGTGCCTTATGTCTCTCTCAGGCCTTCTCTCAGCATTAGCCATAGATCTGAGACTCACAGGCAGACCCCGTTATGGAGCATTTAATATCCTCTGCACCTCCCATGCCCCACCCCACTTCCAGAAGCTTCCCTCAAGCCTAATCCTTAGCCAAACTTGGAAACCAATGACCTCTCCTCTTTGGCCCTCTGCCTGGGCTTGTTCCCAGCCTCACGGCCTCTGCCCCACATCATTCTGACTTCTCTGTGCTCAGCTAGTGTCTAGTACTGCCTGCTGCTCTCTTTGGAGGGCTCTGTACTGAGCCTCCATGGGGTAGATCTGGGCAATGAGTCACCCCACGAGGCGCCATCACTTACTGGGCACAGATGCCTGGCATTTCCACCCTCTCCAGGCTACATTTCTAGAAGACTCGACCCCTGCCTGGGCTACCTGCCTGGGAACCGTGAGGCCAAATGAGATGTGTGGGGAAATTCTGTGGTCGGCAAAGGGAAGAGGCCCCAAGACCTAAAGAGATGATTCTAGTAGAAAATGTCAGGTAATTAAACAGCATCTGGGGAGGACATCTTGCTGAATTAGCACTCATATCACACCTTTTATGGTCTCGTTGTACCCTTGCTACAAAACAGAAACTTTAACTGCTCACTGGTACTTGTTAGAATTGCACATCCCCATGGGGGTGGGGGGGGGTCACACTTAAAACTGTTGTCAGTTACTCAGGGTGTAGGTAGTGTGAATGGGTTTCAGACCTTCGTCCAGGGCTAGTTTTTGAGAGGGGCTGCACCTGGGGGCACCACCAAGTGAGAAAAAGACCAGGAATAGCGATGAAGAAGCAAGAAGTAATTCCCTGCATCCCAGGATCTACTCGACATGGAAAGATAAACCATCTGCTTCTAAGTGGCTCACCCTAGGGAGGCACTAGACATGTGAGCTTATTAAAGCAGGTGAGGAGATACATGCTCTGAGAGAGGCGAGTCGGAGCGGCCGAGAAGAAAGAACAGGTCATTTTGATTAGGGAGATTAGGAAAGTCTCCATACAATAGTGACATCTGAGCCTGGCCTTGAAGCGTGAGTGACCTCGATAAGCAGAGGGGGGAGGAGAAGATCCATCCGAATACTGTTCTTGACACATAAAGGGTGCTGACTGCTGTATCACTGGCTCCTGCACGGCTCCCTGGGTGGAGGGTCAAGCTGGATGCTTGAAAGACATCTGGGCATAGATTTAAAAATCACAAAAGCAGAAGGCTTGGGAGGACGTGACCACCACCACAGACATTAAGAAGTATGAGCCAGGCAAAGGGGAAAATAAAGAGAGTCCAAGCACAGAGAGAAACATGTTGGTACAGGTGGAAGAAAGCTGGGAGTTCAGGGTGCTCCTTACAGGCAGGAGGAGACGCAGGAGGCAAGGTGGGGAGGGGAGAGGGGCGGGGGAGGGGAAGTCTGAAGAAAGAGGCTGAACAAGGACAAGAGGAGGCTTCTGTGAAATCATCACCGCCCTTTAGATCAATCAAGGGAGGGTCCTTGGAGGTAGGGGCTGGATGTGAAGCCAGGTTTTGACTTGAATGATTTTCTCCATAGGTGCCCTGATGATCAGATCTGAGGATGCGGGATTCGTGGTGATAACAGGGGTGGTGAGCCGGAGATATCTCTGCATGGACTTCAGAGGCAACATTTTTGGATCTGTGAGTTTCTTTTTGTGCTGGGTAATTCTTTGCAAATAATTATCTCATTACTCTGGCAAAATGTAGAATTTTATAGCTTAAAGGTTCCACTTGCACATTACCTGGGTGATGTTTTCACTGAGTACTTTTTTCCATCTAAGTATCAAACGCTCAGGCTTATACAGCTGAGGTCTGAACCCAGGCCATCTGGCTTTGGAGCATCTGGGCTCTCAGTCTCTAGTCCTACCTGCCCTTTGGTCCCCATTTTTTAACTAGCACAGCACCTTGTCTGCAGCCCAGGTCCTCGAGTCACATACGTTCGTGTTGGAAAGTCCATTAGAAAGAAAGGGTGAGAGGCCACTGGGGTCTCATGATCTTGTTACCAGACATCCTTGACCTTGGGCAAGTCCCCTATTTCTCTCAACTTCAGTTTTTCCTCACCCGGAAAAAGTCAAGTGGGATGGACCATGTGCCCTGTGGGGCTCCCCCAAATCAAGATCTGTAACGAACTCCCTCGGCCCCAGCTGTGATGGCTGGTCTTTTGGACTGGTGAGCAAGGGCTTTCCCAAACTACAGGACGCAGCATATCCCAAAGCAGGGGGGGCACTGGACAGAAGCAGTGCTGCGCATCTCAGAAGCTCCTCCCACCAGACATTCCAAGAGAGCAATTACTTCCTGTTTTACTTACTGCTGTGTCCCAGCACCCACCATAGTATCTGGCCCAGAGTAGATAAATATCTGTTGAACAAATATAGATAAATAAGTACATAAATACCTGTTGACCGCATATAGGCATATGCAGAGTCCTCATCTGTAAGATACTTACTTCGTGGACTTCTGAGGATTAAAGGACATCCTACGTAAAGGCCCTAGCAGGCACTTAGCAAAACGCAGCACCAGTTAGTGGCAGAGTGAGGGCTCACGTAGGTCACCTGGTGATGAAGTTCATGTCCCTTAATTCCCAAACTCTGTTCTGCCTCCGAGGGGGAGTCTCCTTACTTATGTGCGGCCCTACAAACCCCAGCCCACCTTTGTCCAGGTGAGGAGACAGACCGAAGCCACCTCTGAGCCAAAAACAAAAGGCAGAGAGAGGGCAGGCCTCTCCGTCCAGCCCGGCCCCAGGCAGCCAAGTGCCGGCGGCGGGTCCCCAGGCGGGGCCGCGAGCTCCACAAGCCTGTCCCCACCTGCCAGTCGTAACCGCAGTTTGGAAATGAGTGGAAATCACTTTTGCTCAGCAGGGCACGACGGGGTTAAAGGCAAGGCCCGAGGAGAGTGGGTGGGAGGATTGGGGTCCCGGGATGGAGCTGGTCCCAATCCAGCCCGCCGAGGACTTCGGCCTCACCCGGTCGCCCCGCCCCGCTTTCAGCATCACTTCAGCCCCGAGAGCTGCAGGTTCCGGCAGCGGACGCTGGAGAACGGCTACGACGTGTACCACTCGCCGCAGCACCGCTTCCTCGTCAGCCTGGGTCGGGCCAAGCGGGCCTTCCTGCCGGGCACCAACCCGCCCCCGTACGCGCAGTTCCTGTCGCGCAGGAACGAGATCCCGCTGCTGCACTTCGCCACCGCGCGGCCCCGGCGCCACACGCGCAGCGCGCACGACGGCGGGGACCCGCTGAGCGTGCTCAAGCCGCGCGCCCGCGCCACGCCCGCGCCCGCCTCCTGCTCGCAAGAGCGGCCCAGCGCCGAGGACAGCGGCCCTGCGGCCAGCGACCCGCTGGGGGTGCTCCGCGGCCACCGGCTGGACGCGCGCGCCGGGCCGGGGGGCGCCGAGCGCTGCCGGCCCTTCCCCAGCTTCGCTTAGGGCGGCCCAACTCGGAAAGCCAAACCGTCTGGGGCGCGGGCTGGAGGTGGGGCGAACCGGCCCCCCTTCCTCCCTTAGCGGGAGGTCCCCGGGGATTGCCCTTGGAGGCCGGAGCGGTGGCGCCCCTCGCCTTCCTCCTCCCACCTGGACGCGCTCCTTTGGGAGAGAAGGGGTTCCCTCACCCCCAGCCCTTCCTCTTCCCTCTCCTCTCGTCTCCATCAGTCTAACATTAAGAACAGGGGCTTAGCGAGTTGACCAGACGGGAGGTGAAGCAGGGAGCCCAAGCCAGCGGCTTCTCCACCGCCCCCTGCTTTGTGCCATCTGCCTGGACCCTGTTGGCAGGGTTTGAGTTTGCAACCTTGACCTGGGCGATTAACAGCTCGACTGAGCAAAACCCATGAAAATCCTAACCTCAAGCCTTCGTTCTTCCTTAAGCATCTCTGGAGAAGGGCCGTCAACAAGACTGGGGGTAGGCTGGTCAAAACTTAGCCAGAATGAGCACCCGGAGGACGGAGGCAGGGATCAAGCTAGAGACACGAGCTCCTTACAGGATGGCCCCTTGCCCTGCTCTGTCCCTCTGTGCAGCCAAAGCCCGGCCCAGAGTGACGCTGCGCTTCCCACGTGGCCCCCGCCTCTTGGCCCTACCTTTGGCTTGAGTGAATTGGGCCTGAGGAGGAGTTTTGGTCTTGGCTCCTGAAAATCTACCCTGCTAGGATTTGTTTTTCAAAATGGAAATAAATTCAAACTCTCCCAAGAGGCCCTTAATTAAGCCTCTGCTTTCAGGTTGAGTGGTGATCCATTCTGGATGAATCAGACAAATGTTGCAAGGAGGGGCCTTGTGACAACGGGACTGCTCTGGGTTGGGTTTTTTTTGCCAGTTGTGTCTTTTTTTTTTGCGGTACGCGGGCCTCTCACTGTCGTGGCCTCTCCCGTTGCGGAGCACAGGCTCCGGACGCGCAGGCTCAGCGGCCATGGCTCACGGGCCCAGCCGCTCCGCGGCATGTGGGACCTTCCCGGACCGGGGCACGAACCCGCGTACCCTGCATCGGCAGGCGGACTCTCAACCACTGCGCCACCAGGGAAGCCCCAATTTTATCCTTTTGTGAAGTGGCATCGGGGATTCCGGGAAAAGAAGCCCAACCACCAGGGATCACAGTGTAGGAGTCAGGAAAAGCCAGCACTGTCAGCTCTTCACCATGACCGCAACCCGCCCTGTAGCCGTGGCTAGAGGCTTAGCTAAAACACTCCTAGGCGGGCGTGTCTGGGTCTTACTCCACTTGGACGTTCTGGGGGCACCAAATGAAGACAGCTTTCAGTCCCAGGAGCCCCAGCGCTACCCTGAGGAAAACCAACCCTCACTTACAGAACAGCTGAGCACCAGGCAGAGGGAGGCTGATACCTTAGTCATCCTCAGGGGCCCCATTTCCTACCTCTATTTAAATGGTCACCTGAAGAGCAGAATATGCACGAGCAGCAGCTCCCTCCCAGTCACCTTCTCCCCCTGCTGCCATCACGCACCCGACCTTAGAAACGGATCCATTCTTTTACTTATGAGAGAAACATTGGCCGACTGCTCTCACCTATGGTTTCAGGCTGATCTTGAAGGATGAGTTCCTATTTCAAAACACTCAGACTGTGTATAATAACTATATAGCAGTGCATGGCAACTATTTTCTTTATAGTTTTCATTTTCCGTTCGAGATATTATAGTGTATAAAAGCTACTGGAAACCTAAACGGAGAGGACTTCGGCAGAAAACTGGTTCCTTGGGGTTTTCTCTTTGGCAGAGCTAAGAGGGCCTCACAATGTCTTATGTCACTTAGCACGTGGCAATATTTATTTATTTATTTGGAAGACTTCTGCCTATCGCTCTATATTTATGGATATTTATAAAAATGTAACACCATCTTTTTCCTTTCTCCTTTTAAAAAAATAAAATTGATCTCAGCTTCTCTTAGCTTTTCCTTTTTGTATTACTACACAAAAGTACATAGAACTATGAGAATAAAAGGAATTACAGGAGGAATTATGGGAGGGGAGCGCTGGGAAAATCTAGAGGGAGCGAAGTTGACAAATTTCAGAGTTTTAAAATATTCAAGGTTTTCTCCATACACAAATGAACTCAGCAATTTTGCCTAATTCAGACAGAATTATTGAAAACAAGGAAAAGATTTTAATACTGGATTTCTGATCACTCTAGCTTGTGTTTCCTTTAAGGAGAGGAATTTCTTTTTATTTGAAAAATACCCACAGACACAGCCACCTCAAGATCCCAGTAAGCTTCTAAAGAAAGATGACACATTCCAGGCTCTGGAAGAAATAAGGGGAAGTGGCCCACAGTCAAGAGAAAATTCAATCACTAGAAACCAACCGTTAGATGCCCCAGATCTTGGAATTAGCAGCAGGAACTTTAAAGCAGCTATTATAAATATATTTAAGGGTTTTAAAGGAAGGAATGGTAATAAGGAACAAAGAGATCAGGAATCTCAAAAGAGAAAAGAAATAATAAAAAGAACCAAGTAGAAATCAAAAATTGAAAGATACAATATCAGAAATAATAAATTTATTAAATGAGCTTAATAGATTGAAGATGAAAGAACAGTCATTGAAAATAATAAAGTTAACATGTAATCTGATCTGAAGAAAGAAAAAATATGTTAAAAAAATAATGACCAGAGTCTCAGTGATCTGTGTGACAATATCAAACTGTCCAAAACATGTGTACGTGGAGTCCCAAGAAAGGAGCGGAAAGAGTTGAGGAATAATATTTGAAGATACAATGGCTGAAATTTTCCCCCAATTGATGAAAAACTAATGTACTGATAAAAGAAGCTCAGCAAACCTCAAGAAAAATAAAAACAAAGAAAGTCACAGTCAAACTGTGATTTGAGTATATCACAAACTTCTGAAAGCAAGGATGAAATCTTGAAAGCTGCTGAAGAAAAATGAAACTTCAGGGATACGTGAACAGCTGCGCACAGCTGATTTCTCACCATAAACAAGGGAAGCCATAAGGCGTTGAAAAGCTTGAAAGAAAATAAAGCTACATGCCCAGAATTACATATCCTGCAAGAACATCCTTCAAAAGTGGGGAGGGGGAAATGAAGGTGAAGTAAAAACTGAGAGAACTTGTTGCCAGGCTGAAGAGAAATAACACCATATAGAAAACAAAGAAGGGCAGCAGAAATAGTAAAAATGTGGGTAAATTCAAACAACTACAAATATGTGATACACTTTCTTCTCTTGGTTTCTTTAAAATACCACTTAAAGCAAGAATTACAACACCGTACTGTGTGGCAGAATTTCCACACAGGATGGGAAGGGTAAATGAAAGACTGTAACACTGTATGTCAAAGTCATACAACATGAATTCTAAGGAGACTGTGATAAGAATATATGCATATTATAATTCCTAAAGTACCTCCAATAGTAAAAACAATCAAAGGGGTGTTGACAAAAGCCATTAAAAGTATTAAACGAGAATACTAACAAAATACTCAATTATCCCAAAAGGAGGCAGCAAAGGAAGAACAGTAGAAGAAAAATCAGAGGGGACCAATAGAAAAATGACAAGACTAAATCCAACCGTATCAATAATTAGATCATATATAAATAAAACACCACAACTAAAGGCGGCAATGGTCAGACTGCATGAAATAAAAACACCCATCTACATGTTGTCTATACAAGATGGACTTGAAAGAAAAGAAGGGAAGGATATTAAATTAGTTCGCTGCCATAACAAAATGCCACAGACTGGGTGGCTTAAACAACAGAAATTTATCTTCACAGAGCTCTGGAGGCCAGAAGTCCAAGGTCAAGGTGCCAGCAGGTTTCATTCCTTCCGAGGCCTCTCACCTTGCTTGGAGGCACCACCTTCTCGCTGCGTCCTCACCGGGTGTTTCCACCGTACTCAGGCATCCCTGGTGTCTCTCAGGGTGAACAAATTTACTCTTCTTTTTAGAACGCAAGCCAGACTGGATTAGTACTTTCCTTATTGGCCCCATTTTAACTTAATTGCCTTTTTAAAGGCCCTCTCCCCAAACACATTCGCATTCTGAGTTACTTGGGGCTAGGACTCCAACACACGAACTTGGGAGGACATAATCCAGTCCATAACACACACATATAGTGATAACAGCAAGCACGAGAAGTATGGGCTTACTTACTATATAAATAGCAAACAAAAAGGCTTCAAGTTAAGGAATACTGCCATAGGTAAAGAGGAACGTTTCTTAATGACAGAAGGGCCAATTCATAAGGAAGACATAAAAATCACAAATGTTTCTGTCTCTAAAAACAGAGTAACAAAACACATGAAGCAAAACTGACAAAACTGAAGGGAGGAATAGACAAGTACTGATCTGAGTTGGCAATGTGAACACTCCTCTCTCAGTAGCTGAGTAAGCAAACAGGCAAAAAATCAGAAAGGATTAGTGGTGTCTAAGCGACACTGTTAATGAACGTCATATAACTTACATTTATAGGGCATCAAACCCGACAACTACAGAAGACTACTTTCTGAACAGATGGAATGTCCATCAACATAGACCACATACAGGCCAACAAACAAGTCTCAATTAACTCAAAAGTTCAAAATCTTACAGAGCAAAATAAATGACTGAATAAATAAACAAACAGGGAGAAGAGTACAATCTCTCAGGCAGAGTTCCGAGTGATGTATGTGGATACTGTGTCCTTAAGAAGGCAGCATAAACCCCACTGTGCACAGAGACTTCCTTCCAAAAGGTACAGTCAGAAAAGGGGGAAAGAAGAGCCTCTTTGCCGTGGAGAAACCTCACGAACACCGCCTCAGCCAGGTGATCAAGGTCAATATCAAAATCAACACCAACAATCAAACAAAATAAGTCACGTTGACAGTGTGTCCTCCTGAGATGATGTGATGAAAAATGGTACTTTGCTTCTGTGGTCTTCTCCCAGAAAACCATAACCCCACTCTGGTCATGAGAAGAACACCAAATTCCAACAGATACACATCC